GATCAAGAATCAAATGCTCGGGGTGCCTGGGTGGCTCAGTCCTTTAAGCATCCAACTCTTCATTTCGGCTCAGGTCATGATCTCGGGATCATGAGATCAAGCCCCACGTTGGGCTCTGGACTTAGCGGGGTGTCTGCTTTGAGGATTCTCTCCCCCCTTTCTCTGCTCCTCCCCCAGCCCTTTTTCTCTCTTCAAATAAATAAATAAATCTTAAAAAAAAAAAAAAGTCACATGCTCTATCGACTCAGCCAGCCAGGCTCCCCTAATTGTTTTAATGTTTTACAACAAACATTCTTTTCATAATTGAAATACAGTATAGTAATATTAAATAAGTCTCTTGAATGCCTTTGACCCTTCTCTCCAGGCTGCCAGGTCCTGCTGTTGTTCAGACGGTCAAGGTCTCTCTCCTAGACACCACTTCCTGCTGTCCTCCACGCCGCTACGAGCTCTTCCCATGTTCCAAGAACTACCTGCGCTGGCCGCTTTTGGCCCGGGCTGTTCCCATGAAATCCAGATCACATGGGCAATGGCCTACTGTCCCTCAGCATCGGGGTGTCTAATGGGCAACTCAAAATCAAATAGATCCAAACCCCAAATCCTGATCTACTCCCACCCCCAGCCTACCCCTCCTCCAGTTCTTCCCCTACCTTGACTCCACTCACCCTGGATTTCTCTCTTTCCTTCAGTTGGCTCTACCTTTGGAATGTATGCAGAGGGGCGCCTGGGTGGCTCAGTCGTTAAGCGTCTGCCTTCGGCTCAGGTCATGATCCCTGGGTCCTGGGGTGGAGCCCTGCATCGGGCTCCCTGCTCAGCGGGAAGCCTGCCTCTCCCTCTTCCACTCCCCTGCTTGTGTTCCCTCTCTTGCTATGTCTTTCTCTGTCAAAAAAATAAAATCTTAAAAAAAAATGTATGTAGAATATGACCACTTGTTACCACATCACTGCCGTCACCTTTGCCCCAGCCACGGGCACGATTGCGATCACTTCTTAAATGGCATCCCTGCTTCCTCCCCCAAAGCCCTCACAGTCTCCAGACACAGACTTGGGATAGTTCAATTGATGATTTTTTTTTTAAGATTTTATTTATTTATTTGGCAGAGAGAGACACAGCGAGAGAGGGAACACAAGCAGGGGGAGTGGGAGAGGGAGAAGCAGACTCCCCGCCGAGCAGGGAGCCCGATGCGGGGCTCGATCCCAGGACCCTGGGACCATGACTTGAGCCGAAGGCAGACGCTTAACGACTGAGCCACCCAGGCGCCCCCAATTGATGATTTTTTGACATTTCAACAGTGTGAAAGTGATATTCATTCAGTAGAAACTATACTCTGAATTCTGAATTTGGATCTCTTCCCAGGCTAGTGATGTGAAGCGTGATCCTCTCTCGTGATGCTGGCTCATGGCACCAGCAGCAATCACGAGAGTGAGGGACCCCTGCGCCGACAACCCTCCTGTGCCCAGACAGCCATTCTGCGTCTCACTTTCTGGCTAGCATTCAGTACATCACATGAGTCAACACTTTATTATAACATAGGCTCCATGTTAGATGATTTTGCCCAACTGCAGGCTAATATAAGCGTTCTGAGCACATTTACGGACAGCTAGGCTAAGCTATGACGTCCAGTAGGTTAGGTGTATGACATGCATTTTCCACTTAGGAGATTTTCAATTTACAATGGGTTTATCGGGACATTACCCCCACTGCAAGTTGAGGAAGATCTGTATTCTCCACCCAGCAAACAGAGCAATTCTGTTAAAGCCCAAGATGGATCTCGGCTCTCCTTGAGTCCCTTTCTTCTGTGGCTTGCATCCCAGTCAGAGTAAAAGCCAAAGGAATTGGTCACTTACAAGGCTCTGCCCCTCGACTTCTCTGACTTCACCTCCTTTAAGGTCTTCCATTACCCACTAGGCTCCAGGCATCCACGCCTCCTTGCTGTTTCTCCGACAGGCTAGGCACGCTCTCTGCTCATGGTCTTGCACATGATGTTCCCTCTTCCCAGAATTCTCTCCCCCCAGAGACCTACATGACTCGCTCTCTCCCCTCCTTCAGATACTTGTTCAAATGCTACCTTCTTGTGGTGCCTGGCTGGCCCAGTCAGTGGGGTGTGCGGCTCTTGATCTCCAGGTTGTGAATTTGAGCCCCATGTTGGGTATAGAGATTACTAAAACAAACAAACAAACAAAAACCCTTAAAAAGGGGGCGCCTGGGTGGCTCAGTCAGTTAAGCGACTGCCTTCGGCTCAGGTCATGATCCTGGAGTCCTGGAATCGAGTCCCACATCAGGCTCCCTGCTCAGCGGGGAGTCTGCTTCTCCCTCTGACCCTCTTCCCTCTCGTGCTTTCTATCTCTCATTCTCTCTCTCTCAAATAAATAAATAAAATCTTAAAAAAAAAAAACCTTAAAAAGAATGCTACCTTCTCAGCAAGGCCATCCTTGACCATCAAATTTAAAATTGGAAATCTAGGGAGCCTGGGTGGCTCAGTTGGTTAGGCGACTGCCTTCGGCTCAGGTCATGATCCTGGAGTCCCGGGATCGAGTCCCGCATCGGGCTCCCTGCTCAGCGGGGAGTCTGCTTCTCCCTCTGACCCTCTTCCCTCTCGTGCTCTCTATCTCTCATTCTCTCTCTCAAATAAATAAATAAAATCCTTAAAAAATAAAATAAAATTGGAAACCCATGGGTGCCTGGGTGGCTCAGGCGTTTGAGTGCCAACTCTTGATTTCGGCTCAGGTCATGATCTCAGGGTCCTGGGATGGAGCCCCGGGTCGGGCTCCCTTGCTCAGTGGGCAGTCTGCTTGAGGATTCTCTCTCTCCCTCTCTCTCTGTCCCACCCCCAGCTCACGCAAGCTCACCCTGTCTCTCTCAAATAAATAAATAAATCTTTAAAAATAAAATAAAATAAAAATGGAAACCCACCTCGAACCCAGCACCCCCTACCCCTACTTCCCTACTTTGTCTTTTCCATAGCATATTATCACCAACATGGATATTATTCATTTATCATCTCTTTCCTCTCCTACACATAGACTCCATGGGGGCAAGGACTTTTGTCTCTCTTGTTTTCTGCCATGTCTCCAAGATCTAGAATAGTCAGTGCACAGTAGATGCTCAGTTAACTGTTGTTTTTTTTTTTTTTTAAAGTAGGCTCCATGCTGAGCATGGAGCCCCACTCAGGCTTAAACTCACCACCCTGAGATTAAGACCTGAGCTGAGACCAAGAGTTGGACGCTTAACCGACCGAGCCACCCAGGCATCCCAGCTCAGTTAATTTTTGAGTCATGGAATGAGAGTCGATCCTTGATTCCCTCCTCCTTGTCTGCACAATAAAGCTCAACATTCCAGGAAGGCTTCCCTCACTGGCTTCATCTCTTACCCAAGCTCTGAGGTTCTCCAAACACTCCCAGCCTCACCCCAGGGTCTGGGCACACTCCTTCTGTCCCGAACACCTCCACCACTCCCTGCTGCAATCCCGGCCTCTGGGAAGCCACCCAGGATCCCTTCACCTACTGAAACCATGTCTGTCTCTCCCATTACATCACACATCTTGAGTGCAAAACAGCGGCTTGAGCATGGTTTCCTAAGTAATGTTTGATAAATGAACGAATAATCGAATGAGGGTAACACCTCTAACAGAAAAGCAGAGTCTTTATTCATTCTTCACGCTACCATTTAATATGTACATTAATAAGTGATGCTTGGTGTGACCCTGGGGCCCTCTGAGCGCATGAGCTGTGTCTCCCCCTCCTGTCCTCTTTCCTCAAGGCCAGACACTGGGCTCTGGGGGTGCACCCATGACCCACCCCACCATTCACCCTGCACACAGGAAAGCACTCTGGACCACGAGTCAGGCAGCACCTTGCTACCACCTGTTCCCTGTAACCCTGAGCAAGTCCCTCCTGCAGGTGAGTCCTGCTTTTGCACCACCAGTGCTTGCTCTGTGGGATGTTCTAAGCTAGTCAGTCTCTGGCCGGATTTCCAGGGAAGGAGAGATGGCTGGAACAGTGTCTCTAGCCCGTCTGCCAGCCAGCAAACCTGTGCCCACAGTCTGGGAGAAGCGCCAAGCTCAGACACACTGGGCAGCAGGGGGCTGGCCCAGCTCCAGAACAACACCTTGGCAGCCCTGGGCAAGGGAAGAGGGAGTGTTTGGCTTGAGGTCAAGAGGGTCTAGGCCAGGGCACAGAGGGGCAGCTGGGGGGGTGAGGGGTGGGTTATATGGCTACTGTCTCAACAAGACGCTGGCAGGGATCAGAAAAGAGCATCTGCTACTGACTAGCCCCCACCCACCACCCCTCTACACGCTGCTAAGATCTTTCCATTAGTGCCACAGTGAGCGGGGCTCCAGGCTTAGCTGCCCCCAGCCATATAGAGAAATAGGATCTCGGGCCTGGGGCTGGGGCTCAGGGTTGGGATTGCAGGCAAAGGGGCAGGAGAGCAGGCTTTAGCTTAAATCTCCCTTCCAGAGATAGAAGGGTTCCTGCATCCCGCTGGGAGTGGAAACTAAAGGAAAAGGGGTGGTCACCCAGCATCAGACCAGTGAACTGAGAAATCCCTGGGAAGGAGGGGTGAGAGCCTGAGTCTGGATGAGGTGTTGGGGGAAAGTGGGAAGGTAGGGGCTCAGCGGCTGTTACTCCGGAGGAGGTTTTTGGAGGGGAGTGCCAGATGTTCCAAGGCCATAAAATCGAGGGGTTTCCGACCTCCAGCAAATCCCCAGGGATGTGAGGAGCTCTGGGGTTGAAAATCCAAGGTCCAGAACGAGGGCGGAACCGCTGGGAGAGGGAGCGGGGGCTCTGGGGCCCCACCCCAGGCAGGGATCACGCGGCGTGGGGCACGCGGGGGCACGGGGTCCCACGGCTCCGACCCCACTGAGCCCGCCCGGGGCCGGTGGGGCGGGGGCGGGGCCGGCGGCGGGGCGGGGCCGGGGGGGGGGGGGGCGGGGCTGGGGGCTGGGCCGGGGTCCCGGGGGCCGGGGCGGGGCCGGGCTGGCGCTGCGCAGCCGCGGGGCGGCCGCCGCGCATGCGGGGCTCACACGGCTGCAGCCGGCGCCGCTGCCACTCCCGGGAGCATGAAGGACCGAACCCAGGAGCTCCGCACGGTGAGTCCGGCCCCCGCGCGCCGCCGCTCGTCGCCCGCGCCCCGCGCCCTGCGCGCCGGCCGCTCCCTTCCCGGCCTCGGCGGCCACCCGACGACAGCCCCTGCGTCCCCGGCCGGGCAGGAGGGAGCGGTGCGGAGCCCGGGACCCCGACGCCCCTCCGGGTCCCGCCCCTCGGACCCACTCGGGGTCACGGGCTCGCGTGAGCTCGGCGCCGTGGGCCCGCGGGCTGGCGGCCGGAGCCCGGGGTCCTGGATAAACTTTTCGGCGCCCCCTTGTTTGGGGGGTCGGAGGGCTATTACCAGATACCGGTGGCGGGACGGAAGGCTGACCTCTCCCGCGGCCCGCGGAGCAGGTCCTGTCTCTGTCCCCTCACTGTGCCTCATCACCGAGCCTCCTGTCCCCCCGCACGGGTGAGGACAGACGGCGGGACCGCAGTGGGAAGGGGCCGGGGGCGGTCCCCTGCCCAGAGCCCAACTGCAGGGCGCGCTGCGGAAACCGGGCCGCCGGGTGGGGCCGGGCTCCTCGGGCGGGCGCTGTCCCGCGGGGCGCCCCGCCGCCTCCGTCACCTGTAGCTCCCATCACCTGTGGCTCCCCACCCCCGTCGCGCTCGGGGTTGGCTGCCCGCCCCGGTCCCAGAGGGGTCAGATATTCGCCCCCGGTCCACCTTCCTGGCTTCCGGGCAGCCGCGGCCGGCCGGCGGCGTTTTTCAGACCCTTCCGGGGTTCCTGGTCTGATTCCAGCCTGAACCTATTTCTCCACCTGTGTGTCTCGGAGGCCCCCGGGGTGTGGCTCCTGGGGCGGGGTTTGGGGGAAGTAGGAGGATGCACAAAGGCTCTGACCAGAGCCCACCCTCTCCTGGCCCTGACTGAGACCCCTGCCGCGTGCTCCTCATTCACCCCTACCCCCTCGCCCTCATCTCCCCTGGACTCAGACATTTCCCAGGGCATTCTCACCTCTGCCCTTAGAGGTGGCAAGCCTGGGGGCGTATGGGGGCAGTGAAGGAAATGAAGCCTGCCTGTGGGGAGGGGGGCATCAGGGCTCTAGACCAGGCTGACTCTTGTCTGATCTCCTAGCTGACCACCTTGCTGTCTGGCAGGTGCCCTGCCCGCAGTGCTGATCTGGGGTGGAGGCGCAGCTAGCTCACTGGCTCCTCTGAGCTCTCCCCCTGCTATCCCTTTTGGAGCCAGAGACCGAGGTTCTCTTATATGAAAAGTTTTAGGTGTCCTTTGGGCTTTTGACCCCCTGGCTTGACCTGTCTGTCCAGAGGCTCCCTGCATCTGTGCCCTGTCTCCCCCATTATACCAGTCTTATATCCTGGGTAGTCTGGAGCTGGTACTGTACTCTCCTGCCTCCGTTTCCCCCCTGGCTCTGGCTACCAGCCCCCACCCTTCTGACAGACCTTTTATTCCTGGCCAAATGCCCAGCCCCCAGGGTAAACCTCAGGAGGTTTCAAAGGAAGAAGATGGTCCCTCATGTCATATATGATGTCTAAACACTTCCCCCGCCAGCCCTTGCGGTTGCCCTCAAGCTTCCTGTGCTGTGTTGAGTCAGAAAGAATGTTATCTTGGCGATGAACGGCCGCGTGGTGCATTTGCTGATGTTTGGGCGCCCGGTGGGTCAGGTGAGAGTGTATGTGGGAACCAAGTGGTCAGGGGAACACAGTCCTTTACATGTGACAGGGTCTCTGACGCATCAGCCTTCATCCTCTCTGCTAAAGGGGAAACTGAGGCACAAGAGAGCAAATGGCATGCCTGGTAGCTCAAAAGGGATGGTAGAAAGGGGCTTTGTCCCATAGACAGTCAGACTGAGGCCTCGCTGGGACTGGGGGACCACGCAGAAGGCTTGGGTTGTAGGGAGCTTGAACCCAGGTCTTTTGCTCTGGTGTGTATCTCTGTGACCCCTCACGCCCACCCCCAACATACGTACATAAACACTAGCCATAGTGGTCCCTTAGATGGTGAGGCCTGGCTTCTCTGTGGATTCGCTGAGGCTTCCTCTCTAGACCCCACCCTGCAGGCATTCAGAACCCATGGAGGCTGCTGTACTCATTGCCGGGGAGCCCTGCCCACTGGGGCTTTCTTGCAGGCTGCAGGAGCCCACACTGGGTGGGGTGGGACAGTTTGTCTGGGGGGCTGTCATTCCCACAAGTCTCCCTCTGGGCCTTGGGTTCCCACCTATAAAAGTAGAGATAAGAAAACCTAGAGCCCAGTTTCTTAGGGCAGGGGGTGGTCACCTGAGTCCGACTCCATATTTAGGGGAGACCTTGAGCCCCAGGAGTCAGAATTCTCAGATCAGAGTCCCCAGGAACCAGGAGGCCAGTACTGGCTGGGCTGGACAGAGGTGGCGCTTGGGCCAGTGACTTGCACCGTAGCCAGCCCTCCCTCCCTCCTCCCCCCTCCTTCCCCACCCAACGCCACCACATTTGGAAGGAAGGCAAGGGGAGCTTATTTATAAAAGTCACACTTGGGGAAGGAGCTGGTGCATTTCCTCAGCGCTCTGCAGGCCAGGCCCAGCCCTCCAGCCTTCCCCAGCTCCCACTTCTTAGGCAGCTGATCCTGCAGTTGTGTAGACTGAGTGAAGGGATCATCGGGGACCCTCAGAGGTCGGAAGGGCAGCCCAGGGGCCTAAGAGGGTCAAAGACAAGCCCAGGGTCACAGAACCGGAGAGACTTAGGGCAAGGTGCCCCTGGGCAGCCCCACCTAGCGTACCACTGCCTCCTTCCCCCCACCCCCCCATTCGGAGGCCTCGCTGGTTTTCTTTCTGAGATCTTCTTGGAGCTGACCCACCCTTCCCGGGGCCCAGGAGGGTGTTTATCTCTGTGCTGAGCCACATGCAGAATATGGGGCCTGCTGCGGGAGCCAGAAGACAGAGAAGAGGGAGCGTTGGGGCTGCCAGCTCCTGGAAGAAGGGAAGCTGGGGTGACCCAGAAGGGGTCGGGTAGGCATGGGAGGGGGGAAGGTGGTCCAAAAGGAGGGGCCTGCGGTAGTAAAGGCAGAGAGGTTGCAATGCCCAAGCAGGAGAGAATGGTGGGTGGTCTGATGCCTGGCTGGGGAAGCCCGTGCGCCCCTTTGCCCACCCGTTCCCCCTTTCCCTCTCATTGCTGGGAAGAGACCGGGTGTCCTGGACAACAGCAGGCAGGTTCTCGCCTTAACCTCTCTGTGCCCCTGTCATCCGTACAGTGCAGCCGGCCGGGCCCACCTTGCAGAGTGGAAGAGACCTAATAGTAGGCCTCCTTCCCGCCCCTTACCTCCTTGGGGTTTCCCAGAAGAAACAGCGGGTTTGGACACATTGTGCCCTGGGGTGCCGCCGGAATGACCTTCAGGGACGATCTGGTCCAACCCCCTCTTTCACAAATTGGAAAACTAAGGTCTGGAAAGGGCCAGGGGTTTATCTAAGGTCACACGGTATATTGGGACAGGGGCGGTTGCGGGGGGCAGGGGGAGTGCGGGGCTGAAGCCACCTCCTCTCCGTGGGCTGAGGCTGCCTTCTGGAGCCGCCCTGGGGCCCTGGTCAGGGACAGGGATGTGGAGGTGAAGGGCGTACACCAGATGGGGAGAGGGTGAAGGGGTCAGACAAGGGAAGGCGGGGAGCCCCTCTTTCCTGGAGACCCAGCTTGGCCTCACATACCCCTGATTCAGCTCTGGGTCTCTCTGCTCTAGGCATATTGACTTTGATTCGTCATTAAAAACAAGAAGGGGGAAAAAAAATAGCCCTCAAGGCAGACAACAGCCAACTCCTGCTCAGGAGGAATGAATCAACCCTGCTGGCTGGCCTCCCGCCATCCGTCTCCAGGGACGGGCCTGGAGGCTGCCTGGACTCCGAGCCTCTTGGAGGAATCACACCTTTGTTTCCAGGAAGGTATCCTGGCATCCTGGAGCCTCTGCCAGGAGAGACCACCAGGGCTGTCTGGCCTCCTCTGGAAGTTTAGGGCTTCTGGCCAGGGTGGCCTTCGTTCCTGATGGCTTGGCCCAGAGGCCTCATGAGGCCAGAGTCTGTCAGAGGGAGTAAGATCAGACCACTGGGTCTCAACCCCGGGGTGGGGGGACTTTTTAAAAACTTGGCCTTACCAGCCCCAAACCCCTAAATTCTGATTTGGTGTCTCTGGGGTAGAACCCTGGAAGCTGGTTTTGGGTTTTTTTTGTGTTTTTTTTTTTTAAGCCTTTCAAGGGATCATGGTGCTGGAACAGGATTAAGAACCACTGAAAAAAACACCGTGACAAGTCAAATATTGGATGGATGTGAGAGGAAGAGGAAGAAAGTAGATGTACCCCGCTTTCTGATTTGGGGGGACCCTTGGGAATGGGGGGTTTCAGAGGAGGGGCTCAGGAGAACAAGGCAGAACGTAGTTTGGGCCAGGTGGCAGGTAGGGTGCTCACATGATGCCTGGGTGGGTTTATCCTGAAGATGTTTGCAGCTCCGAGCTTGCGACCGCCCCCAGGCTCCAGCCGCCACCTCAAGTCCCCAGTCCAGTCCAGCCCTCTTTCTGGAGCTGTGACTGTCACTCACAGAGGGCTGGCAGATGTCCAAGGGGCCCTCAGGATTCTAAACCATCTGGGTGCTCCCTTTGTGCATGTCGGTGATGCCCACCTTGACCATTCCAGGACACCAGGAGACGCCAGCCTAGTTCTTACTTCCTTTTGGGTCAGGAGTGTGTCTAGGTTTGGGGCTTGTCATTTATTTAGTGCCAGTGAAACCTGATTGGGGTCTTAGTTAACCTGGAGGATGTCTCTAGAAAGGTGCCACAGGGCTCTGGCCTAGATGTGGATGAGGTTGCTGGGGGCCCCAGAGTCATGAGCCATTAGATTCTCACAAAGTGGAACAAGGATCAGAACAAATGAAGAAATTAAGCAAAAGTCCTTCACTTGAGCCTAAAATCCAACCAAGTAGACAGTGGTGGGGAAGGGCTTGGGGCTTTTCTGGGCAGGAAGTGCTATATGATCACTTATACTGATCTCTGGTTGTATTAACAAAGATAGACCATGTAAAAAGAGGGAGGGATGGATCAGCTCTTTGGTACCACTTAGACAACAATCAACAGCAGATTCAGTTTGTATCATGTACTGCAGAAGAAGACAGAGACTGGACCAAAGAAGTCTGGGGCAGGGGTTGCAATTTAGGGCCCGGGGGCGGGGGGGCGGATATGAGGGGAAGGGAATGGTCAGCTTGAGGGGAAAACCCAGGGGAGGTGTGGATGCTGCCTTTAGGTCTCTGGCAAGGCCAGCCCAGGGAGAGGGCACCAACAGGTTTTTTATGGCTTAGGGCCTCAGGAAAGGGGCACTGGGGCAGCCCAAGGTAGGCAGAGCTGCCTAGGAAAGCTAGTGAGCTCGCCATCACAGGAGGTGTGCAAGCTGAGGCCGGCAGCTGAGGCCAGCAGCTGAGGCCAAGGTGACTTTTCAGGTCCCTTAGGGCCTGAGAGCGTGTGGCTGTGGTTCCAGCAGAGATGTGAGTAGTGTGTGGGGGACCCGAGGAGCAAGATACCCGGGGGAAGGCTTCTGAAAGGAGGTGGCATCTCAGGATGAGGGGAATGTCAGCTTCATGGAATCAGCATTCCAGGCAGAGGGGCTTGCATGGGGCAAGGGAAGACAGCGGGTGGGCTGTGGAGCCAGGGAGATGGTTTAGGTGGGGTATGCCGGGGTCCAGTTTCAGGCTACGGCAGTGGGGTAATGAGGGGCAGTGGGTGAAAAGTCCTGAGGAGGAAAAAGAGCCAGGATGTGGTAAGGAAGGGGTCCCCACGGAGAGACCCCTCAAGGTTTTGCTTGGAGTCACCACTGGTGTGACCAAGGCTGTGAAGTCAGGCCCTCAACCCTCCGATTGGCTTTGGGGCCAAGCTGAATGCCACCTTCGGGGTGGACCCCCGCCTGGGAGCCCCAGTCAGGCCCTGGCCCCAGGTGTCCCCTTCCTCAGCTCTGCGCTCATGGCCGGCGGGCCGGGAGGAGAGCGTGGACATCCTTCCTGCCAACCCTGTGTTGGAGAAACTCCCTGACTCTAGCTGTCAGTTTCCTGGGGAGGCTGTGGAGGGAGCAGGTCGGAGCTGCTGGATGCTCGAGAAGTTCCGTCCTTGTTTTATAGGCAGGCAAGCCGAGGCCCAGGGAGAGCAGCAACCCAGACCCCAGGAGCCTCTGGCAACGGCTCTCGTCTCTGGAAACCCTGACGCCCTTGCTTTGGCCCTAGCCGGTCATTACTCTTCCTGGGAGGGGAGCTGGAAAATTCTCGTGTCCTTTCCTGTCCATCCTCCTCTTTCTCTAGATGCCAAAAAGACAGAGAGGGCAGGCCGCTGAAGGGCAGGAGCTCCTGGGACCACCTCCCAACCTGGCAGGCTGCCCCGGAGCGGGAGCTGGGCTCCTCCAGACTGCACTCTGCCTCAGTTTCCCTAAGGAGTGCTCCTCTAGCTTAGCTCCTGCGCCTGGGAAGGTTCAGAAGTGTGGAAATGGCTCCTAGATTCTCATTGTCAATAGGTGGGCTTGGTTGGGGGGAGGGGGCCACCTGGTAGCAGCCACAGGCACTTGTGGGAGCGAGGATTTATTTTAGCTGCTGGGGGAGGAGGTGTGATCTCTTGATGAGAGGGGCCTGTCAGAGCCGCCTCCATAAAGTTCCCAACCAACCCCCTCTGCTGTCTGGTCCCACTCTGGTGGGGCAGTGGGACCCCGAGAGCCCCAGGGGCACAGCCCTTTCAGAACATGCTGTGCCTCCCACCCTTTCTCAGCCTTCTGTCCCTGCAGCCAGGCGTCCCTGTCCCCACTGCACACAGGAGCAAACAGACCCACAGGGCACGTCCCTCAGCCAGCCACTGTCTGTGCTGGGCACGGAACCTGGGTCCCTCCCCAGCAGGCTAGCTGGGCCCAGCCTCCTGGGTCCTCCAGCTTCACCATCCCGCGACGGCCACCTGCCCCTGTCCTCGGTTAAGAGAGATCAAGGTGAAGGCCAGTGCCGAGCCTGCTCACCCCTCCTCCTGTGGGGTGCTGAGACCTGAAGGGGTGTGGCCAAGCCTGATAACCCCAGTCTGAGGGGGCCGGTCCCACCCTCCGTATCCTGGCCTTGGCCGTGGAGAGGGGCTTGCCCTTGCCAGCGGAGTGGGCGGCCCCTGGCGACTCGAAGCGTGTAAGGCGGACAGTAATGAGCAGGCCCGGCACACTGGGAAGTCAGAGGCGTAATTACTCCGCCCTGTGATGGGGGTGGCTTTTGTCCGCCTGCTCCTTGGGTGGCGGGGTGGGGCCTAGGGCAGGCCCCGAGCCAAGTGACATGACTGGCCTCTCAGGCTGGTCGGGCCCAGCTCGGCCTGGAGGGGAAGAGAATCGAGGTTTGATGTCGAGAATGACAAGGGGTCAGCTGAGCTTGCAGGGCTGCGTTCAGCCAGTATCTCTCAGGCCTGCTTGAGGCGCTATGGGACAGCCCTGTGTCTGAGCCAGCCTGCCTTCTCGGAGACAGGTGTGGGTGGCGCCCAGGCCTCCCACTACCCCCCGCCCGGAAAAGGAGCTTGGGAACTTTGGGCCCCATCCTAATTAAAACCATCGGGACTGGAAAGTAGAGAAGGTTGGTTTCCAGGCAGCCTGTCCCAGGCAAGGTCTGTGAGTTGGGGGCCGCTGGCCAGGGGGCCAAGCCTTTCCAGCTGCCCTCTAGGGTAAGGGGTGTGCCAGGAGGACTGCGGTCCTGTGGGGAAGGGGCAGGCAGCTGGGCAGGGGAAGGAGTCCTTGGCCTAGAGGTAGAGACTTGGCCCTGTCACCATCTTGACAAGCAAGGCCTCTTTCCCTATGCTGGGGCCCCAGGGGTCCTCCACGTCTCACTGTGGCTGGGAGCTGAGGACGCAGGCAGACCTTGTCCCTGCTAAGAGGACAGAGGGCAGTGGTTGGGGCCGCGGAGCTGAGCCTGTGAGCCTGCTGTATATGGACGCTGGGCAGTTCGCGGTCCCGGGTCCAGTGGGTCCCAGTGGGCCTACCACAGGTCCGCTCACGTGTACACACCCCTGTGCAGGCCAAGGACAGCGATGATGATGATGATGTCACTGTCACCGTGGACCGGGACGGCTTCATGGATGAGTTCTTTGAACAGGTGGGAGCCAGCACACCCCGCGTCCGCGAATACGCTGGCAGACCTTGGAGGCGGGGGGCCCACGTCACACCCCCCACCCGAAGCCTGGTCCAGCCTCTCTCTGAGCCTGGCCGCCAGCTCCAGTCTGGTCCAGCCCCAGTGCCCACGAGCGCCCTCCCCAGGTCTCCTCCTGACCGGAGGCCTTGGTGTGCAGGTGGAGGAGATCCGTGGCTTCATTGACAAGATCTCAGAGAACGTGGAGGAGGTGAAACGGAAGCACAGCGCCATCCTGGCCTCCCCCAACCCTGATGAGAGTGAGTGTGGAGGACTGAGGGGCGGCTTCCAGGCCTCCTGGAAGGCGCTGCTGCTGGGGAGGGGCTCCTGGATCCTCAGCAGCCTCACTGTTGGGCGGCTGAGGGGTACCTGGGCCTGGCCAGGGTGGGGAGGGCCCCGTGGAAAGCTTCAGGGAACACGGCTGGCCCAGGCCTGGGGCGGGGGGCCTCCGGCCAGCCCCGCCCCCTCCAGGTAAGCTGGGTGGGAAGGCGCAAAAGGAGGCCTGTCTGCCCAGCCCCTCCCTTTCCCAAGCCTCCCCGGGCAGCAGATGGCTCAGCGCCGTGGGAGGGCAAGCCGGCCAAGCAGGAGGAGCTTCCTGAAAGAGCTGGCGGCCCCGGCACCTGGCCACCAGTACCCCAGAGCCGGGCCTTCTCAGGGCTCCAGAAAGTCACCTTTCTCCCTATGCACAGGGAGCCTCTGTGTGTCTGCATTCCACTCTGACCCCAGACAGGCCCCCCTGACCCTCCTGTCACAGCTCCTGGCGAGGTGTTGATGACTGCCCTGCCCTGTGCCAGACAGACTGCACACAGGCCCAAGATTCCTTTCCCTTGGCCCCCGGCGAGGCAGTGACAGCGCTGGGCCCAGGCCTGGGACCTGGGCACGCGCACACTGCTCCTGCTGGCTCGCCTCAAGCACGAGTCCCGGGGGCCCCAAGAATGCAAGGCGAAGGGTTCTGGTGCTGCGCAGGCTGGGTGAAGCACTCAGAGCTGGGTTTGCGTGTGGCCTGCAGCTGTGTCTCCCTGTCCCTGGCCCCTCGGCCCCTGGTCCGCCGGCCATCCTCAAGCCCCCGGGAGAAATCTCTCCACAGCCCCCAAAGGGCGCTGGAACCCGAGGCCAGGGCCAAGCCGAGCGGGCCCAGTGCCGGGCCCTTGGAAAGCAAAATGAGTCTGCCAGGAGCCCGTGCCAGGAATGGGTGGGAAGGAGAGAAGGGCCACCCAAGGCAGGGCCCACGTTCAGTGTGGCCACCATACATCACCCCTCTCCCCAGCGATTTGTCTCGGGTAGCAGCATGTGACGTCATACGTCTTCCCGCGCATGTGCGTCTGAGTCCGCGTGTGTCCCCATGGGTCCCTCCTGCTGAGGGTCAGAGGGGGCCAGCTGTGGGAACAGGGTACTTTAAGAGCTGGGGCACTCCCCTGCTGGCAGATGGGGCGAGCATGGGGTGACGGAGACGCCAGTTCCTTTACCTCGGCTCCCTTGTCCCACCTTTTGCACCAGGTCTCCCTGCGTCATAGAGTCAGTAGCGACCCGTTCAGAATTGCCACCTCGAGCCAAGCAGTCAGGACAGCCCCGGTGTCACTGATGTGGGGAGGGGGCTCCCCGGTGAGGGTTCTAGAGCGGAGGGAGCAGTTACCGAGGAGGCACCGGGAAGGACAGCGGCGAGTTGGGGTGGGGGGGGGAGGCGCTTTCCTGGGCCAAGGGCTGCCCTGCCTCCCCTGAGGGCCGCCATCCGGGCTGGGCTATTTTGGGTCTGAGCAAGAGAGGCAGAGACGGCAAAGCAGCTGGTAACCAAGTTTCCTTTGTTTGTACGAATGAGGCACCCTCCTCCGCTCCTCAAAGCCCCCACCTCACGATCCACTTAGTAGGTGCCCCCCCCATCAACTGCTGTAAATGCCCCCCTCCCAACCCCTTCTAGGAGAGACCCAGCCCCAGAGGAAAGCAGACTGGATAGGAAGGGCTCAGCCAGGAGCTCTGTCCTGGTTTCTCCAGGAAATAGAGTTCTGGGGTTGCCCTGTGGCTGGGGCGCTGTCATGAGCCATTGCTCCAGCCAGCACCCCAGAGGGAAGCAGCCACCCTGCCCAACTCGGCCACCCCCCCCCACCGGGGGTGGGGCAAGCTGGGTACCCCCATGGCCTCTGCCAGCTTTAGAGAGATGGTTCCAGTCGGAACAAGGGCCAGATTCCCCCCACTTCGCCGTCACAGGACCAGCCAGCTGGTGCTCCAGGGCCAACTGTGTGCCAGGGAGCGCACCTGTCTGAGCCTCTTCTCCATCAGCTCCCATCCAGGCCAGGTGCCTCATGCCCCCATGCACCCACTGGGCACTCAGCGGTTGGCCCCCACTGAGCTCAGCACCTGGGAAGCAGAGCTCAGTAGAACAGGGTCTCCCCCGCCCAAGGTGCTCAGTGGAGGGGGGCTTGCTTCAGCCTCCCTGGCCTCAGCTGTCACCCTATTGGCTGGATGTCTGTCCGCCCCCCCCCCCAGCTACCAGGTAACTCTAGGTGAGCCTGCACCCCCACCTTCGACTCAGGAAGCATCAAGTCAGTGTTCCCCAGTGCCGACTCCAGCATCACTAGCTGCTCCACAATTATTTCTGCCTTAAATTTAGACCCATCTGTTACGTGCAGGGGGTGGGAGAGCCAGCGAAGGAGGAAGGGAGGCTCCTTGGAAGGCAGCACAAGAGGGGGTGAGGCTGCAGCTGGTGTGGCCCTGGCCCAGGGTTGGAGGGGCAGGCAGAGGCTTAGCCAGCGGAATCGGGCAGACCTGGGACCCAGGCTCTGCCCGGAGCCCCGCGACTGGGCCCCCTGCGCCAGGGGCTAAGCCTGAACGTCAGGCAGTGGGGGAACCCTGGGCGTCTACGCTCTCCCCCTTCTACCTCCCCAGAGACGAAGGAGGAGCTGGAGGAGCTCATGTCTGACATAAAGAAGACCGCAAACAAAGTTCGCTCCAAGTTAAAGAGTGAGTCTGGGCTCCATCCAGGCCTTGTCTTGGGGGCCGGGAGGGGGCACTCTGGGCCCGCTTCCTCTGTGTTCCATGGGTCTCACGAACTTGGAGGGGTACACTGGGTCTTGCTTTCCTTTATGAGGGTGCCATCACATGCCCATTCTCTCAGCTGCTACTTGGCAAGGCTTGTTTGGGCCAGGCTTGGGGCCGGGCCTCGCGACAGATGCTTGAGGCTTCAGTGAGGGAGTGCTCCACTCTGGGAATTGTCCCCCACTTCAGCTAAAGAGGGCTCAAGGGGTGGCCAGCACCGCCTGGTCCCACACACAAGCCCCATGTGCTTGTGGGAGCGCAGAGGTGCACGGGCCCAGGGGCCGCCCGTGGCGGCCCTCTCCGCTCTGGCCATGGCCCCTTGTTGGGCGCACAGGCTTCCTGAGCAGAAGGCCGGGTGGGCCCAAGCCGCCGGGCCTAGTACACAGTAGGCACTCACACACACAGAGCTTGGTGTGTGCCCGAGGCCTCGCAGATGGGTGTGCATATGTGCACCCCCCCGAAACCCGCATCGTGCCCAGATGGGCCCCTGGAGGCCCCTCCCGCAGTGCCTGGCGCGCCTTCCTCCTCTGCTTCCCTTCCCCGCCCCCCCAGCCATAGTCCACACTAGACCCTCCCCAGGAGAGGTCCGGAGCCAGATCCTGGGTGTGTGGGTCCAAGAGGGAGGGGACAGTGGTGAGGGGGACAGGTTATGGCTCAGCAGCCCCCCTCTCCCACAGGCATCGAGCAGAGCATCGAGCAGGAGGAAGGCCTCAACCGCTCATCTGCGGACCTGAGGATCCGAAAGACACAGGTGCCGCCGGCGGGCCTCCAGGGTGGGCTGGCGGGCGCTCGAGGCCCTGGGGCTCTGTGGAGCTGGGCCTGACACTTGCACCCCCACCTTGCACCCTCAGCACTCCACGCTGTCCCGCAAGTTTGTGGAGGTCATGTCCGAGTACAATGCCACGCAGTCTGACTACCGTGAGCGCTGCAAGGGCCGCATCCAGAGGCAACTGGAGATCAGTAAGCTTTGGGGGGCTGGGGGGGGGGGGAGGGAGGGGGGGGGCCGGGGCGGGGCCGGGGCGGGGCTCAGTGCAACCCCTGCTCACAGCTGGCCGGACCACGACCAGTGAGGAGCTGGAGGACATGCTGGAGAGTGGAAACCCTGCCATCTTTGCTTCTGGGGTGAGTGTGAACCACCCCACCCCACCCCACCCTCACCCCTGGCACGGACCCTTGGTGTATGTGCCAAGTGCTGAGGCTGGGGGCAGTCTTTGGATATAACCACCTTGCGAGGCTGGTTTCAGAGAAGGCTGAGTCCCCGAGGAAAAGGGACTGAGGCCACTTAAATACTAGTGGCCCAGGTAGAATTAAGACCCCCGTCTCCTGGTTCCTCTCAATTGGGTCCACTTCCTTGCTTCTCCTGTCCATTTGCCACCGGCCAGGGGCTCCTTCCGCCATCCTCAGGGCCTTGTTCCTCTCCTGGGAGACACGGTCGCCTCTACATTCAGGTGACACTTGAGCAGGGGGGCTTCCTGAAGGAGGCGGCCCACAGGGTGGAAGGCAGGTAGGGGCTGTGGGTTCCAGGAGACAAGGGAAGGGGTAGTTACCCTCTCCGGGAGACTGACAGGAGGGGCAGGGGGAAAGGGAGAAAGGCGGTTCAGGGCCTGGGTCCTTGAGGGTTAGTCAACTTGGCCTCTATACAAGGCTGGTGAGCAGTGACCATGTGGTGGGCACAGGTGGCCCCACTTCAACACCGAGAAGTCCGTCCCCGAGAAAGCAGGTAACAGCTAGTAAGAACCAGGCAGGAAGTGGGGGAGCGCTGTGGCTGAGGAGGGAGCCACCGCCCATCCCAGCTGCCTTTGCCCTTGGCCGGCCCTCCCTGCCCCCTGCGGCAGGCTCCAGGGTCCCAGCACACTGCTCCCGCTCCCTAGATCATCATGGACTCCAGCATCTCCAAGCAGGCTCTGAGTGAGATTGAGACGCGGCACAGTGAGATCATCAAGCTGGAGAACAGCATCCGTGAACTGCACGACATGTTCATGGACATGGCCATGCTCGTGGAGAGCCAGGTGAGAGCCCAGGGCCCCACTGCCCTCTGCCCACCCAGCCCGCAGCAGCACCCAGGGCTGCACTAACCCCTCCCCTTTTTGCCTGACACGCTGCCCTGCCCGGGAGGGACCAAGTCTCCAGGTAACTAACCGCCCGCTGTCAACACCGCCTCCAGGGCCAGGCCCACCTGGAGGACCCCATCCTCTGCATGGCTCTGCTCCCGGGCTCCAGGTGCTGCATGGCTCTGCTTGGCCTACCAGGACCCCAGGCCCTGCATGGCCCTCCACCCAGCCTTGGCCTGTCTTATTCACCAGCCGTCTGTCACGGGGGCACTGTGGACGGCCGCTCTTCTAGGAGCTGGAAGTGTGGTAGTGACCAGGACAGCAGAGGGCCTGCTTCCTGGAGCTCATGACTGTGGGGTGGAAGGGCAGCATAAGGAAATGACAAATGGAATGTTCTCCAGTTGTGCCGGGTGCTCAGGAGACGTTAGCAGGAGGCAGTGAGATAGAGCCGTGGTTCTCCAGCTCTAAAAGGCCCAGGAATCACGGGGCGGGGGGGGTGGGGCTTGGAGGTTTCCTGGTCCCCGGTCCCAGAGATGGGTAGGTCAGAGTGGGGGCCCGTGAATCTGCATTTCTAACAGGTTCGAGGGGGATGCTGATGCTGCTAGTCCCAGGGCCACACTTGGGGTAACACCGTAATAGTGTCCCTGCGGTGGCCACCTTGGACGGGGGTGGTCAGGGAAGGCCTCTCTAGGAGGTGGCATTTGAGCTCGGAAAGCTTCCCAGGGTCCCAGGGTCCCAGGGTCCCAGGGTGAGTGAAGAGCAGGAGCAGCAGAGCCTGGTCCTGAGACTGGCAAGAGCCCGGCTCACTGAGGAGCTCCTGCGACTCTAGCTCGGCGGGCCGGGGCGGGGGGCGGGGGTGGGTAGTGAAGATGAGGCAGGCGGTGGTGCTGGGCTTCTGGATTCTCTCCTAGACCAGAGGGTCTGAAGTGTGGGTGTGGTGTGAGCCGAGTTAGGAAGCCAGGTGGCCACGAGGAGGCTGCTGCCGCTGTGGCTGAAAGACTGCGGACACCTGGACACCAGCGGGAGCAGCGAACTTGGAGAGAGTAGTCATTTGTCACCACGGGTCTCGGGCAGTGTCATGGTGGGAGCGGCCTCTGGGGGCTGCTGGGGCCACATTATGGGGCCCAGGAGGGCTACGGGAGTAGGCAGGGGGTCTTAAGTGTTGAAGACCGAAGACAGTCGGAGCTGGGTGGAACCACCACGCCAGCGAGGAAGGAGTGGGACCCTGTCCAGAGCACCCTCTGCTGCCCCTGCCTCCCTCTGCCTCGCACCCGGCCCGGCTGAGCGCCCCCTGCATGGTCTCCACCCCCTTGGCTGAGACTGCACGGCCAGGTTCCCTCCCAGGATGGCTGCTCTGCAGGGGAGAGAGGGTGCTGCCCCGGGGGCCTGGCCTGAGGGGGCACAGGGAGAGGCTGTACCCCCCCATCCTCACGCCCCCACTTTTCTTTCTCTGCCCTCAGGGTGCTTCCCCAGAGTCCTGCCCTGAGGGGGGCCCACTGGAGCTGATGGGCAACGGCCCTGCAGGGGGAGATGATTGACAGGATTGAGTACAACGTGGAACATTCGGTGGACTATGTGGAGAGGGCCGTGTCTGACACCAAGAAGGCCGTCAAGTACCAGAGCAAGGCACGCCGGGTCAGTAGCCCCCCTCTGCCCATTAGAGCCCCCGGGGACCACCACAGATCCCTCCCCACTCGGCCTTGACTCCATCTCTGGGCTCTGACCCAAGCCCTCACCCCGAGGCCTTCAGCTCCCAGCTGTCTCTCTCTCTCACACACACACACACACACCCGTACATTCACACACACACACACCCATATGTGTACACACACACACACACACACACACACACACACACACACACACACACACACACACACACACACACACACACACACACACACACACACACACCCCTGTACATTCCAGGCAGCACCTTCCCCAGTTCCAACTCAGGTTCCATCCCCCAGACCCCCAACCCCCAGCCCAGCTCAGGGACCACTCTCCTTGCGTGCCCCGCCCCTCTAAGCTCTGACCCAGCCCTCAGCCTCCCTCCCGGGTCTGAGGCCGCTCCTTCCTGCCTCCCCGGTGCAGAAGAAGATCATGATCATCATCTGCTGTGTGGTCCTGGGCATTGTCATCGCCTCCACGTTTGGAGGCATCTTCGGCTAGAAAGCACCCCACCCGCCACCCCACTCGGGACGGTCTGCCCTCAGGAGGCCCCCTGGCTGCTGCCGCCTTTTGGCTCGGAGCCCCTTCCTTCCCACCCCATACTGCCCCTTTCTCTGCCGTAGGGCCCTCCATACCCACCGTGCCCTGAGCCGTCGTGTGCATGATCTCTGTGACAGTGTGTGTCTGTACCGGGGAGCCAGCGGGGTGGGGCAGGTCCGCAGCAAGGACAGACTCAGGCCCTGGCCCAGGCCGCCTCACCCCCTCCAGGGAGCGCTGCCTGGGGCAGCCATGCTCCCCTTCCCCCGCCTCCCGTTAATTCCACTCCAGCCTGGGGTCTGCTCTGACCTTTGGCCTCTCCAGCTGTGCCCCAAAGCCACGCCCCCTAAGGGGTGGGGACCAGCTGGCCACATGGTGCTGCTTTTCAGGTTAAGGAAGGGGTGGCCCTGAGAGACAGCCCAGCTCTAAGCCTCTAACAGCTGATCACTGCCAGGGAGGCTCAGGGTGCCGTGGCCAGGTGGCTTCTGGCTTTGTCAAGACCAGGCTCCCTCCCCGTGTAGGGGCAGAGTCCAGCAGGTCTTGGCTGCCTCATATCCCCTTCCCACATTCCTGCAGCCCCAGGAGCAACCCCTCTGGGCTAGGCCTGACCCCAGGTAACATTCTACGAGAGGCTGTCTGGTGCCTGGTTTCCAACCACCCTTCGAGCTAGGGAGGCAGACCAGGCTTGGCGGGCCTCTGCCATAGCCGAAGCCCACACCCTGGGCCAGCCCCCCTCCCCGGCGGGCCTCAGTCCGGTTCTCAAGCCATCGTGTGTTGCATGTTTGGGACAGTGGTCCCTGCTCTCTTGTGCTCTGGGAAGTCAGGCATCACTTCGGGCCTGCAATCATGTCCTGCCCGTGCTGTCTCCCACTGACGTGCCACGGGGGTGTCTGGTGTCTGGGATGCAGTATTCAGCAGCCAGCCAGGGAGGAGTACCTCCCTCCTCCCCATCTCGGGGCTTCTCAAGTCAGAAACACGCCCCCACCCGAGACCCCTCTTCATCGATAGGCTAGGAGTGTGCATGCGAGTGCATGCAGTAGGGGATGGGGCCACGTCTGTGCCCCGCCTTCCCTCAGCTCTGCTCCTGCCCAGTGACTGTGACCACTGTCCGTGTTGCCTTCTTCAACAGCGACTTCCCTCCCCTCCTTCACCCCTTCACCAAAGGTCTTGGTACAACCAGCTGCCCATTTTGTGAGATTTTTATGTAGAATAAACATTTGTATCTGGATTTCTTACGGTCACAGTGTCACAGCCTTAGAACTTGGGGGTCAGCCTCTCCACCGCAGCCCGAACGTCTCCACTCCTGCTTGAAGCCTGATGCCCGTTCTGTACTGTGGGCCCATAGCTACCCCCTCTCCTGCTTTTGCAGGAGTCACAAGCAACCCCCAGATCCCCTCCACACCCCAAGGGCAGGACTTAACCTGCCCCTCTGACCGCTAGAAATCAGACAAGAGACATGTCTCCAAAGACAGGCAAGCAAGTGCTGGGCTGATCAAGTGGTGCAGCTCACGGCCAAAGGTCAGCCCAGGCCACAGGCTGGGTGACACCTTTAGTGGGAGGGCAACCAGAGGAGGCTGGGTGATGGTCTCGGGTCAGTGGGTCCCACAGATAATTTCATCCTGCCCATCCTTCTTAAATCGGCCTCGTGCTGGAATAGATAAGCAGCCTGAAATCAAACCTACCTGTGTTCCTTGTATGTTAAAAGGGTACTTTTCACACATTTAAGTTCTGCGAGCCTCACTCATCTGGACCTGGGGAACGAGGCAGCGGCCCCCACCAGTAGAGAAACCCAAGAAATGTTTTCAGGATCAGAGCTGAAAAATGCTAGAGCCCCAGTTCCACAAAAAGTGGTTTATTGCTTTTAGAACAAGAACTTTTGTTAGTGAAGAGAAATGGTTAGAACTTGAGAACTTTTCTGAAACAGTATCTTGTCAGGTAATGGAAGTAGGCACTTCAACAGAGAGAACCCCGGCAGGCGACAAGGTGGGTGGCGAGGCGCGGCGCATCGCTGGGCCTCCAAACATGTCCGGCTCGCCGCTCAGAAGCGGGGTCTGCGCTTGCGGCCGGTGTAGCGGGTGTCCGGTCTGACCGCCCTGTGGCCAAGAAGTCACGGGCCAGTCTCAGAGAAAAGAACCGAGAACCCCCCGGGACCCCTCCAACCGCAGGGAAGCCCTGCGCAGCCCCAGAGCCCGCCCTCCCCGGCAGCCCGGCCCCAGCACTCACTCGCCCTGCCGCCTGTAGCGCGCCTTCTTTGCTAGCACCCACTCGCGACTCTTCCTCATGATCCTGCGCTTCGCCATCCTGTACAGGATCCTGCGCGGGAGACACTGCTCTGAGGGGGCGGAGGGCGCGGCCTGGCCGGCAGCCCAGCTCACACGCACAGGGCCCAACAGCAATCCTCCCATGCCCCTGCGGCCACCGAAGTGTCCCCGCCTTTAGACACCCTCTCCTCCCCTCCCCTCAGTGATCCCCCCCCCACACACACCCCTCCCCCCGGGCCAAAGCTGTTGTGTAGGAGGAGAGCAGGAGGGGAGGTCCCCTACTCGCCCCCCACATGCATCGTTTCGGTGTCTTCGTTAGGTGCTGCCCGCAGGGCAGGCAGGGAGAGCCGCGCTACTTTTGGGGCAACACAGGCAGGATCAGCTCATGAGAGCCTGGCACCATCCGAGGAGAGCTGGAGGCCCCGTGCCCAGTGCTGCCACGTTAGCCCCTCGTCTGACTGTGGGGTTGGCAGGCCTGGGCTAGACCACGTGGGGGCTCCCAGCAACTCCACATGTCTGAGGCAGGAAAACAAGGCTGCCAGCTCATGGCAGCCCCGACAATGATCCTCAAGGGCTGATCTTGGCCTCCGGCCCTGGCTGAGGAGAGGGACCCCCTCACACAGCCCCGTGGGAGAGAGGCCCTGAGAACAGGGAGAGCCTCTGCCCCCGCAAACCACATCCCCACCTGGCAGCTGGGATCAAACAGCTTCCAGCATAATTCCGGCCATGGAGGGCTGCTCACCATTTGAGTAACAGCCATTTCCTGAGCACATGAGTGCACGACCCAAGGATGTCCTACGGTGGATAGGAACCAGACTTGCCCCTGAAGAGCCCGCGACCGGGCCATGGCAGGGACCAGCCACGCCAGGCAAAGCAAGTGCACAGAGGCCCAGCAGCTGCTAAGCGACTGACGCAGAAAGGAAAAGCAGAGTCTGGGAAAAACTAGAGGGCTGCTGAGACAAACGGGTAATTCTGCAGGCAGAAGGTGAGGCAGCACCAAGACCAGAGCACCACAGGGCGGAGGCACTGAAAGGACCAAGCAGAAGGTTTGGGGACAGAAGAGTCCTGTGTGCCTGGGACGAGAAGGGCAGTGGGATCTTGAGGGTTGGAAACATCACAGACCCTGGCTACTACTACTCACCTGTTCTGACGTAGTAACAAAAGTCAGAATTGTTCAAAACAAAACAACTCAGGGGTGCCTGGATGGCTCAGTTGAGCATCTAACTCCATTTTGGCTCAGGTCATGATCTTAGGGTCCTGAGCCCCACTTCAGGCTCCACACTCAGTGTAGAGTCTGCTAGGGATTCTCTCTCTCTCTCTGCACCTCCCCCCCAACTCTAAATAAATAATAATCTATTTTTAAAAAAAAAAAGGAATTTCAGAATCTCACTTGGCTTACAGGCAAGGAGTGAGCATGCTGTCCCTTCAGTAAGCAGGGAGCAGTCAGAGACAATAACATGTGATCTAGACCCTTCGGCGTGTACAGGCAGAGTTGCCCGAAAGAAATGGAGAATGCCCACAACCAGAGGGGCAGGAGTCTGAGGCACCCAGTGCAAAACAGGAGGGAGCTGCCAACTGGGGACTGGAAGTGCAGGACCAATCAGCAGGAGGGACGAGCTGGGCGGCCAGCTGTTGAGCCACAGAAGAAGGAATGATGGGGGAGAGCCATCAAGGCAGATGAAGGGAGCAGGGGGAGGCAGTGAGTGCCCCAGACCAGAGGTGCCAAGAGGGAAGTTGGTCAGAAGCTGCAAACGCCACAGGTGGACGGAGTCCTCAGAGAGACAAGAGTCAGAGAGACAGAATGATTAGAAATGACAAGAACGAGGGCGCCTGGGTGGCTCAGTTGGTTAAGCGGCTGCCTTCGGCTCAGGTCATGATCCTGGAGTCCCGGGATCGAGTCCCGCATCGGGCTCCCTGCTGAGCGGGGAGTCTGCTTCTCCCTCTGACCCTCTTCCCTCTTGTGCTATCTATCTCTCATTCTCTCTCTCTCAAATAAATAAAATCTTTAAAAAAAAAAAAAGAAATGACAAGAACGAGAGAAGCCCCGATTATCCTTCCAACGGATAACAGCCTTCTGCCCCCTGCCCCCAGCTGAGGGCCTGCAAAGCTGGGCAGACAGGCCCGGGCCGGACACTGCCGAGCCCAAGCACAGATGTGCTCTATTCCTCAACACGCTGCCCAAGTGTGGGCTTTGACCCCTCAAGTAGATGAGAAACGGCTGCTTACCTAAGTTTACAGCTAGCGTGTGTCGTCTGTAGACACCAGTGTGAGCACAAGAGGGACTGTACTGTGGGTGGAGGGGGCTGAACCACGTGTGGGTCCTCTGTGAGGCGGGAGAGGAGAGGGCGCCACTTGCTGGGAGCAAGTGGTGGGCACCTTAGAGGAGAACACATCTCGAAGAGCCCCCCCCCCACAAATCCCCATGGGGAATGGGCTGAGGAACTAAGGCAGATGACCACGGGGGGGGGGCTTCAGGGGGCTCCAATCTGTGGTGGACATCAGGACCACACTCGTCATCTTCACCACTTGTGGCCTTCCAAACTCATTGACGCTCTGCCCGTTTTTCCTCTTCAATGTCTTAAAAACCTTGGGGCTTTTGCACTCCCATCAACCAGAATGAAGAAGTAACCTCTGCTGCCTTACCATCAATTATCCAGTCAGCGAACACTGGATACCGTTCACCAACAGGACCCTACTCTGACATCAGGGATACGTCAGCGGTCCCCAAGTTCTCCTTCCGGCCGGGGAGACACCAGACCACCCAGGAACCACACGTGCGGGTTTCAGAGCGGTGGAAGGTGGAGGGAAACAAGGGTAAGGAGAACTCAACCAAGGACACTGGAAGACAGAACCTCCCTTTTTAAGAAATTAAGGGAAAAGGAAAAGGACTCGTCCTGCTGCCACGTGGAAGAGAAATTCAAAGGGTCAAAGACCCAGAGTGCAGAGGGAGGCCAGCCCAGCAGTGTCGGCATCAGGCAAGGGGAGCAGTGGGGGCTCAGGCTGGGCAGGGGAGGGGGCTGCCGTGTGGACAGACACGGGCAGAACGTGAAGGACTGGCTGGAGAGGAGATCAGAAAGACAGGAATGAGGAGGGGAAAGAGCAGAGGAAGGGACCCTCGGGGTGAACAGCAAAAGCTTGGCTTGGTCCCAAATACCTGCGGGAAGTCTGGTACGGATTTCTACGGGGGTTCGCAAGCTGGAGGTGGGGTTGAGGCCACGGGCATAAATCCGGAGCAGTGCACCTAGGGTTGGTGGCTAAGGCGACAGAGGGAGAAGGGGTCCAGGCTGGGCCCCAGGGTGCTCGGAGAAGGAACAGCCAGCGAGGCAAGGAGCAAACCGGGACAGCGGGTGGGAGGCCGGGCAAGGAAAGCACCAAAGGGAGCGATCGGCCGCTTTGGCGCCGACGGAGCAGGCAGGTTGAGAGGACAGCAGAGGAAGACTGAGAAGTGGCCAGATTTGGCAGGATCGAGGCTGCTGTGGCCTTGGCAAGAGTGACTGGTGAGGAGACGGAAGCAGGAGCAGGGGTAAGGGAATGGGGCGGCAGAGCAAGAGGCAGGTGTGGATCTGATCCAGAGGGGACCCAGGCGCGGCGCTGGCTAGCTGGCATCGGGGGCTACTGGAGAGGACGGGGGAGGCCGTGCAGCGCGTCTGCGAGCGGGAGGGAAGGAGCCCGGAGAGGACAAGAGCACGCAGGGGAGTGGACGGGGAGACGGAGGGGGTGCGGGGGTCCACGACACAGGTGGGGAGGGACGGCAGACAGAGGAAAGACAGAAGGCCGCACGGCTGCCCGGACACATCCAGAAGGGTCCCAGCTGCCCAGCCTGAGGCAGGGACAGGCCCCAAGGGCTCCCGCTGTCACCACCGTGGTGCTACTGCCACACCTGGACCTGAGAGACCTCGTGAAAGTGGAGAGCCACCCTGTCTGCCAGCCCTGGCAGCAGCGAGCCCCCAAACCCGAGGCAGCCCAAGCAACAGCTTTACCTCTCGCTCGTGAACTCGGACTCCTGGACCTCCTCGTCGTCCTTACTCTCGTTCAGGGCCTGCGGGGACCAGAGTGCTCTTAGATCGTCCCGGCGGTCTCCCCAGCCGCCTGCCCCACCCCAGGAGGCCAGGCCACCTAGGCCTGAGCCCTTCCAACAGGTACTAGGCTCAGCCCCACAAGCAGGGAATCCAAAGGCCACAAGCCTGCAAACTCTGGGATCCTTACCCTAGGCAGAAAGGTTGACGGCCCAGAAAACAAGCAGAGGTAGAACCTGAAACCAGAAAGCAGAGTGACGGTTGAGCTCATAAAGCCTTGTGGGGGCGGGGGGGGGGATGAGTCCTCACGCACACTCCCTCCCACACACAGGTGCAGAACCTTGAGGGCCCCGGGGACCCAGCCCCGCACGCCTCTGGCCGGCTCATCACCCCAACACCCTCTCTGCTCAGTGCGGGCAGCATGCTAGCCCCCGGCACTCACTTCTTGGCCTTGGCACTGTTGGGGAAGTCCACCACCACGCCACCCGTGAAGCCAGCCTTGGTGGCCTGGGCTGTGATCAGCTCCAACTGAGGAGAGAACGGCGGCAAGTCAGGCAGGGAGGCTGGGAGAGCAGACAGCTTCCTCTCCACTCCCTTCCAGAAGCCAGTCTGCCCCTAGGATGCACCCTGCCCAGGGGGAACTGAAGGTGTTCATCAGACCGTTCCCCATTCTGAGTCCCCAAAAGCCACACAGAGGAAAATGCAAGCTAGAACCAACAATTCCCGCCAATTCTCTTTATAGCCCAGGGACCCATCTCAGGAATGAACGGCCACCAATCAGGAGGCAAATTCGTTATGTGAGGGGCTGGAGACAGCTCCCCACTTTCAGAATCTGTACCTCTGTTCCTCATCCCCATGGTTGACCCTCCACAGGGCAGACGGCTCTGCTGTTCTCTCAAATCCTCCCCAACTTCTATTCATTTGACTATGGAAACCAGAATTATCCTATTAATTATAATACCACATGTCTGTCATTAGAAGACTGAACGTCTTTATCCTAACCCCCGCAGATACCACTACTCTTCCCTAGAATGACAGGTCACAACACCTGCCATCAGTGGCCACAGGAACCTCTCTCGGAGGCTCGCTCCCTACTGTTCCCACCAGTCAGCAACAAGTTCCTCATTCTGTCACCTCCCAACAGCGGGAGGGCAGATGAGTGAGGAGCAGGACAGCTTACCTGTTCTGGGTCCCTCCCCCCCTTCCCTGCACCTCCAGGAGCCTGAGGGGCTCACCTGCTCTGAGTTCTCAGGGTACAGCTGCAGGATGGCACGGGCTCCACGGACCTGCAAGCAACAGAAACATCACTCTCCTACAAATATACCCTGCGCTCAGGGCCCAACACTTCTCCATTCCTTGTTCACTCAATATCTGAAACCCCACTAGCTACATGACACTGTTCACAGGGCTTGGGATACAGCTGTGAGCAGAGAGCGCCCCAGAACTTTTGGAGCACATGTTTTAGTGAGAAAGACTGCTAACTTACAGTATCGATTTAGTGCCAAGAAGAAAAATATATTAGGACAAAAGAATGGTGAGTGACAAGACGACCGTTGGCTTTACTTTTGGTTCAAGGAAGGCCTCTCTCTGAGGGACACTTGAGCAGAGTCACAAATGTAATGGGGAGATGGCTAAACATAGAGAAAACCACTTCAGCTGAGAGAAAGGCAAACACAGGCCATCAGAACCTCGGATTAACTCCAGTGCATGTGTGACAGAAACCACATGACGCGCGAGACCAGCCAGCCATATGCAAAAACCACCCATCCTAGGAAAACCGGGGATGAGGTGGGGAGATTAAGAAAACCAAGAAATACCTGGATCCACTCAAAAAAGTAAAAGAGCTCATTTTTGGGACTTAAAATCTCAAATCCTCTAATCCTGTAACACAACCGAAATCAACACCATCAGTTATGGAAACAAGATAGAGCTTAATAAAGGTTCTGTGATAAATAACCACCCTGCTCCCCATCAGAGCGTGAGCAGAAGGGGGGAGAAAGGGGTGGGAGTCAAGAGGATGTGGGCACTCTGTGAGCCCTGGACATGATGTCTCTGTCCTCGCTCTGTGGAGTCCATGCCCCCAAACTAACTTCCAATTAAAATTCAGTGCAGTGGGGACACAGGAATTGTGATCGGTCTCATCAACATCTTCTGCATCTCGTTAGGGATGTGAGACCACCGAGCTTTCTCTTTAGACTGAACACCAAGACAGAAGTAACCACAATAAGGTCCTGCCACCCCCCCTCCCTTTTGGGTCCTGAGGTCCCATTTGAATGGCTTTCTCATGGGCCGCTTCCTACTCCGTCACTACCTGCAGGAGGGATAAGCAGCCAGCCCAGACTGGGAGATCTCATACTCACCAGCACAGAGTAGAGAGAAGAAAAGAAGCAGTACAGGCGCTTGGCAGGGATGTCAGACTTCTTGTTTGCGTTACAGAGCCACTGTACAGCAGAAATGCTGAGAAAGGAAGGGACCCGGTCAGGAGAGAGAGCAACACACACTGCTCCCCCCAGCCTCTGAGACTTGAACACCATGCACATCCTTGAGCCCCAGGTAAAACCCTCCTGCTCATAATTCTCTTTCTGGGCACGTGCAGACCCACTCCAGCTTACCATCCTACAACTGGACAGAAAAGGGTAAATAGAAGGTCAGCATTAACTTCCTTGCAGCCAGTCCAAACAAGTATTTTCTCAACCTTGTTTCTGCATGCGTCTCGGATTTAAAATTACACAGCATGTCAAAGCTCTCTGCCACCTACCCCCCCCTTCATTCCCTTCCTCTAATCAAGGGAAAACCCCTTTATAGTAAACACAAACCATTCACTGTCCTCCTCAAATCAGTTTTTTTTTTTTAAAGATTTTATTTATTTATTTGAGAGAAAGAATGAGAGAGAAAGAGCACGAGAGGGAAGAGGGTCAGAGGGAGAAGCCGACTCCCTGCTGAGCAGGGAGCCCGATGTGGGACTCGATCCCGGGACTCCAGGATCATAACCAGAGCCGAAGGCAGTCGCTTAACCAACTGAGCCACCCAGGCGCCCTCAAATCAGTTCCTTTAACTGTACTTATTTTCAGTGTCTTCAACCCCAGATTTAAAAACCTCAAGCAGCTATTATATACTCCTCTCAGGTATGTCCCCGTTCACTGCTGTGCACACATTAACCACAGAACCCCAAACCGTGACGGTCTGTCCAAATGCCTCTCCCAACTTTTATTTCTCTCTACCACTTCTCCTGGGTCAGCACTACTCACCGCCTCCATTGCTTCATCTTGCTTTTCTTTTAAATAATCTTCCCAAAATACAGCTCCGATCTTGTCGCTCCCTAGCTTCCCACTGACTACTCAATAAAGCCCAAACTTCTCAGCTCCTTCCCCTGGCTACTTCTGTGCCTTTGTTCCCACTGTTCCTTCACTCAGAAACCCTCCCCGTGACTATCCAAACTCCTCGGAGCCTTCAAGGCCCAACCCCAGCCCCTCCTTCTCTTCAAGGCTTTCCTGTGCTCTCTGGCTTCTCTTCACCGCTGTGGTGGGCCCCGTGACTCCCCAGTCACACTCCACACTCAACTTCGTGTTTAATTGTATGGCCCGTGTTTATAGCACCTAATACACCATGGAGAGTCTTAAAGCAGGGATTGTGTTGTATTTCCACAAACTCCACCACACCTGGTACCACGTCCTACACATAAGGAACGCTCAAATAAATAAAATAATAAGCTTGCTGTACTCTCTCTCTTAAAAAAAAAAAAATTGACGACTTACTCCTAAAATATACAAACCGTATCGCTGGCCTTCAGTTTTCTGCGGCTTAGAACATCTCACCCAATCATTACTAAAAAGCAACTGCTATCCGTGAAATGCGGTTTCCCCCTAATCTTGTTCCCAGATATAAACTAATCCCTTATCCTAGAAGAAAATCTTCAAATCCAAATTTTACTGCTCACCCAGATCCCCACTGCTCAGGCCGCAATCACAGGAGGAGGTACCCACCCCCACCCCAGGTAAGGATTAAAGTTATGACTTCCTCCCTATCCCCTACCTTCCACCCCAACAACAACACACTACACCAAACATTCAACAGAACTTTACCACAGAAAACAACTTCACGCTTCAACGGTCATTTCAACGTTCTAAGATCTGTTACCAAAGTACTATGTAAATGCCCAAAAGTTGACCTTGACGACCCAGAATGGGCAGCACCACTGAAGAGACTGGAAAATTCTGGGCCACTCTCCACTGCAGAGCTATTCAAAAAGGAGCCAACAAGATGGCTGCTGGGGCCAACAAGATGGCTGCTGGGGCCCACAAGATGGCTGCTGGGGCCCACAAGATGGCTGCTGGGGCCCACAAAATGGCTCCTGGAGTTGTGAGAAGACCACCCCTTCCCCCTCCCCTCCAGAGACAGAATCTATGCCAGCAGTACCTGAACCTGGCAACACAAGATAATCAAAGGAGTAGACCGTTTCAAAGTAGAAAAAACACATAACTGGGGGCATTGCTCTAACCTGGGGATGTGTATTTTTAAGTACCCTGTGTAACTCTGCTGCACGGCCAGTTTGGGAAGCACTGACCTGCAGGACTACAAGCAGGAAGCGAAGACTCTTCTCACCTGATACAACCATCAAAGGAGCCTGGTTTGAAGGGGATGCCCTGGCCCATGTCCCCCAGAAGCAGGTCTCCCTCAGTTTCCCGGTCCAAGGCCACATCTACATTGGAGAAGAGTACATCAGGGAAAGAGACGACCCATACTGCTCCACACTCAAAAAGAGTAGTCTGCTCCCATGCTAAGTAGAACATACATACCCAGCATGGCGGGGCTGATGTCGATGCCCACCCAATAGTGCCCTTCATCCGAGAGATAATCTCCACTCAGCCCAGAACCACAGCTGGAAGACACCAACAGGAACTCAACAGTGTGAGCAGCAAAGACACTCCACCACCACCTGGACAACCTGAACTGGGCCCCAGGATCTCACCCAATATCCAAAAGGTAACAGGGCTGACCCTCAGGCAGACAGAGAAGCTCCAAAGCTCGCCCAGCCATCTTGGTCTGGATGTCAATAATCCGTGAGCTGGGAAGGCAGAAAACACAAGCAAGTGATAAAAGAATTCTGAGCTAAAACATCACCCAGAGGAAAAAAGAAAAAAAAAAAAGAGAGGAAAAGGAACAATCACCCTGAAGTACTCTCCTAGTCACCATACTCAACTACTTAAAAGTGACCCCATGTAATACAGCAACAAGTTACTTTGGGACACAAATTACAACTCTACCAGTTGCAATGCTAACGTGAAGGGAACAAACCACTTACCTAAATAACTAATCATTGGGGATTTTCAACTCAGTAAGGCTCTGATGTTATTACTTAAAAACACATTTTCTGGAAGAATTACCCACCATAGTTACTCTCATGTATAAAGCTCAACAACGCACAATAAAATCCATAGCAGTATTGTCCGTAAGAAATATAACGCGAGCCAGGTAAGACTTTCTTAGTACCACGATTAAAATGAAACACATAAAATTAACTGTAATAGTTTACTCAACCCAATACACCTGAGAACATATCTTACTTAACCCAATATGCTCTAAATTTAATCATTTCAACACATCACCAACATAAAAAAGCTTAAGAAAATGTTTAACATTTTCCTATTAAGTGAATCAAACTATTATTATCTATTATTATTATTTCAATCGATGACTGCAGCTAATAAAAACAGGTCTATAGTAGATCTATCCCAAGACCAAGAGAAAGAATCCCAGAGCTCTGCAGCTGGCGAGAAGTTTATATTGCTACATAATGACAATTGGACCAGAGATTTCTGCTGACTTTCTTGGTCTTGGACTCTAATTTGAATGGAAAGAAAGAGAGCAGTTATCTCTGGACTAGCGTATCAGAAAGAGGAGGTTTGGAAGTCCCTGTTCTAGCCTTCAACTGTTGAGTAGCTTTAGAGTTACACAACCACCCTCCAAAATGCAGATCCTACACCAGCAATTCTCATGAGAACTTACATACAGCATTCCGCGAACACGCTTTCCTTCCCCTCAACAGCACCGACCCCTTACACGGATCCACGGCCCCCTGCCGACTTTACGACATGTTTCAAACAAGCTGTCATTTAAAACTTCGAAAACCACCTGGAGAGAATAAGTATGACCCACCCCCATTTTAACGCTCGTTTCCTCATCGCTGACTTTCCCACTCTAAGAACCGGAATCAGTCCTTGTCTCTTCCTTCCCCCCCCCGCCCCCCCCCAATTCCGCGTGCTTTCCCAGCAATGCCCGCTGTTGGGTCAACCTGCCGGTGGTTCCCGACCCCCGACGCCGGGCAATATGCAGGCTCCCCTTACTTGCGCACGTATTTCCGGGCTTCATTCTTATCGTAAAACTGCGGGGGAAAAAAAAAGAAAAGAGCAGTAGAGGAGGAATCAAGATGAGGAATCCGCACAGGCAGGGAGAGGGGCGCGCGCGGGGCAAAACTCTCACCAGCTCGGGAGGCCCGCCGTGCTCCGGTCTCTTGCTGCGGAACGCCATCTCCCCGCCTCAGCCTCGAGACTGGTACTGACGGTCCGGAAACCCGGCTTTTATGTCATCGGCCCCACGCCCGCCTCTTAATACGCATGCTCCGCCCCTCTCCCCGCCTCCTGTTTTACTCGATTGGCTACAGTGCCGACGCGCTGCGAACAACGCACGCCTCCCATTGGCCAGTTCATCTTGCACCGCCCGCACGGTCCATCCAAGATGGCAGCCAAGCGCGATCTGAGGTGGTCGCGGCGGTTACTGTGGAGGTTGTGGCTGGTCCCGAACGCTCCACAGAACCCGGGATCCGGCCTGGGCCTAGGAGCGAGAACTTATTCCCAGGGCGACGGCCCATACTCGCGCACCGCGCTCTATGAGCTGCTCGGCGTCCCCAGCACGGCCACGCAGGCGCAAATCAAGGCGGCCTACTACCGGCAGAGCTTTCTCTACCACCCAGACCGCAACTCGGGGAGCGCGGAGGCTGCCGAGCGCTTCACGCGCATCTCCCAGGCCTACTTGGTGCTGGGCAGTGCCACTTTGCGTCGCAAGTATGACCGCGGCCTGCTCAGCGACGAGGACCTGCGCGGGCCTGGTGTCCGGCCCTCCAAGGGGCCCGCCGGCAATGCCAGCTCGCCCCACGCCCCGCCACCGGCCTCTCGGGCCCACAGTCGTGCTCGGGCCGCGGCGGGCGCCAACCGCACCATGTTCGACTTCGACGCCTTCTACCAAGCGCACTACGGAGAACAGCTGGAGCGCGAACGGCGCCAGAGGGCCCGGCGAGAGGCCCTGCGCAAGCAGCAGGAGGACCGGGCCAAGAAGGGCTTCCGCTGGGACGAGACCCGAGACACGACTCTTGTGTTCCTTCTCTTCATAGCCTTCGTCATCGTGGGCTTTCGTTTTTAATCGGAGAGAGGAGGAAAGGGGAGCAGCCCCCCAGCCAGCCCCAAGAAAACGGCCTTTCCTGTCTTCTTGAACCCTTGCCTTCCCTAGTCTACCTCTGCTGGGGTCCGAAGGAACTGCCCTCCCCCTCCTCTTCCCCGCCCGCCCAGCTTAGCCATTCACCTGCACGTCCCTCCCCTACGGTCCAGACAAGAAGGCTTTCGATGCCCAGTGAGAAGAATCCCGAAAGCCCGAGAGTGAAGGGTTTTCTGGAGTCCCTTGGGTGCCAGTTCCAGAGGTTGCCTTCCTGATGTTGTCAACTTCTGGAACACTTGCTCTGGCTTTATTGTAAAGCTCTAAGCAAGCGTTGTCTGCTCCTGCCCCACGTTTGTACCGTGGGGGTCCTGTGTAACCTTGAACCGTGCCATGTGACCAGTTGTTGGCTGCCAAAAGAAAAATTCTGGGGTTGTCCAAACCTTGTCTTTCTGTGAGTTCCCCAGCCACAAGGTGAGACCCGATGTAGGGTAAGAATGGGATCTTTGGAAACTTTGCCGATTTTGTATGATCAGCCCCAGGCCCCGCTCCCCCTTCTGTCCGTGGCATGTGGGAGTGGGAAAGCAAGGTCGTGGAGCATAAGGAATCGAGTGTTCCTGTACCCGTACTTATCTAATGTATGACCTCAGAGAAATTACTCTGTGGCATGACAGCAGAGGAACAAATCATTTGCTCTCTTGAGGTCTGTCACACTTTATTATCCACAGTTCTAATGGGCTCAGTGATTAAAACATGATGTTAGTAGAGTCAGATTTATCCTTGGGACAGTGTGCCTGTCTCCTGGTCATTCCTTGGCCAGCCACCCCATTACTAACTCTGCAGCCCCATCCCCTCCCTGAAGTAGAGTAACTGGGAGTTTTGAGTCCAGCAAACTGGGAATGTGGCCTGTCCTCTTGTTTAACCCCACAAGACAAGTCCTTGAAACTTGGCTGCTTGAGTGTGGAGTAGACGGTACTTCTAAGGAAGAGGAGGCATGTGGTGGAAACTTGGGTCTTTATTCAGAGCTGGCTGAGGCTTTTTTCTCTCTGGGTTTCTAAGTCGAGCTAAGCAGTTGGTCATCACTTGGCTGGAGCTGTAGTAGTCAGGCTCTCGATTATGTGTCCCTGCACATGGTGTATGTGTGTGGGCTGTGAGATTTCAGCTGCTCAGGTATTTATGCACTGGGGTTAAGTGTAAAACTGTGGGATAGGAAAACCTTTGCAAGAGATCTACCACAAGAGTGAGGACAGAAGTGTAGGTTCTAAACAGAGCCAGAGGCACATTGGTAAATTAATAAGAACTGCTCTTGGGAAATCCTTGTAATTAGGATAAGGCCACAGCTAGTTCAAATGGGTATCTCGGAAACGATTTTGATTCTAGCCTTGGAAGTCAGGGGCAAGCTCTTAGGACTCTTCAGTGAGCACACGATTCAGTGGTAAAGATTTGAGCCTGCTTTGGATTCAAACCCGGTAGGCTCTGCTAGCCTTGGTTTTGGGGGGGAGGGGCACATGTACTTTTAGAAAGAACATTTAATGTTATTATGTTTCATATTTGGAAAACAAGTCCTTTTTGAAATACAAACAACAGGAAGTGTTCGGCTCAGTAAAATGTGCCAGAAACTAGTGGTTCTCAAGCAAGCAGCTGGACGCATAACAGCGTGTCCTTGGGGCAAGATTCTATCAGAGTTTCTGTCAAAAAAGATTGGGGTTCTTTTGGGGGGTAAAAGCACTAGTGGTCTGTGATAGCTGGGACCTTTCTCATGGACTCCTTGATATAGACCCCCCCAAGTTTGTTTTCTGTCAGTAAATATCAAAGCCAAGAACAATCCCTGGGGGCCCAGAACGCAGAGGTATATAGAAGGTTCCAGAAGGTTGGGGGAGGGGGCAGACCCTGTGAAACTTCTGTAACATTCCATGCAACTTCAAGCAGGATAGTCGATAAAGTTCATTAATCATCCCAACTGTAAGCTTCTCCTTAGGCCCTAGAACCAGGCTCACGCTATTACAGTGCCATCCTGCCTGCCTCAGGTTTGTGGGTTGTTGTTTTTTTTTTTTTTTTAGCCCAGAGCTGAACTCGAAGGTCCCCCTCAATACTCTCCCTAAAACGGAGTCGGAGCCCTTTATGGAAGGGGAGACGTGTGGGAGGCTTTTTGAAGGATACCCAGACTGGTTCCCATCATATTTCCCCCTTCCCACCTATCCCTTATCCCGTAAGATTGCCCTAAGTCGTTCCTTTCTCAGTTTCTTACCTGCCCTGAGGAGGAGAGGCTGAACCAGGCCATGAACATTATACCCTGCCTTCTAGGGGCTGCTTCCCAATTCCTGATAGTGGAGGAAGGCTCAGACATGTTCAGTTTTAGTCCCTGTTCTCCTTTTGATCACAAACTAAAACAAAACTCCCTGAAAGTTGGGCCTAGGACAGGAGAAGATAACAGCAGCCCAGCCTGCCTCAGACTCTTCACTGGGGTGGCAGTGGGGTTGCAAGTACAGCGTGAGGCTGAATGAGCAGCACACACAAGTCCTGAGCGGGGAGACACGGACAAGACCGTGGTCAGAGGTGTACTTGTATAGGCAATCCTGATACTGGTTTTGGACTTGATCAGGACTTTATTTCTCCTGAGCCAAACTTTGCCCTTTGTTGCCTTTTGTTTATTGCTGGGTGCAGTGATCCTTTGCAGATCCCAGCGCTGAGGGAGTAGGATTTCTTGCTTCCCTTCTGAGGTTCTGGCATTTTGTTCACTCGGTGCACCTTGCCTTCCATAATGATCCTCGCATGAGCCAAGATGAATAACAGTAGCCTACCTTAGACCAATGAGTTGTCCATTTGGTCATTATATATATAACGCACGTGCACACACACGTACACACACACAGAGTCCTTATGGTCACAAGCCTAGACCCCAAGGATGGAGCCCAAGTAAGTTGCCACCGTAATCCTTTTTGGGGAAATGGCAGCGGGGTGTAGGTGGCATACCTCAGACGTTCGTGGGAAGGTCACCAGATCCCAGGAAGAGAGGCTGGGAAGTGGTAGCGTTCCTTCAATCTACCGTCTTGGATTCAGTGCCCTAGAAAAGTGGGCTCTATCCTGGTCTTTGCCTCCTCTTAATTCCTCAGCCTTGTGACAAGATCACACACTGCCCCCTGCCAATGATCAGGATCATAGGAGGAGGCCTGCCTTGCCTACCTTCAGTACCTTGGTTCTCAGGCCCAGCTTGTGGGCCTGGTGGCCATAGGGTTTGTGCAAAGCAGTTGAGGGTCCTGTTACTTTGTGAGCGTGACCACGAGACCTGAATCTAGGTCCTCGTGGTGAACTTGCATGTACTGAGAACGCTCAGTGCCATCATCCCCAAGAAGCAGGTGCAGAGAGCTCCTCTTCACTTGCTATGAGGTCATGGTGTCCCTCTCAATCTCTCTCTTAAGGCTGGGGTCCTCTAACTAGACTTCAAGTGCGTTCGTCCTCCCCTCCTGCTTTGTGCCCCTTTGGCGTTCACACCCTCAGTTCTGGGAGGGGGCTGCTGGTAGACAAGAGGCCTGGTTCAGGAGGACCAAGAATGGGCTGAGATCTGGTCCCACAGGCCACGCAGCCAACCTGCACACCGTGTCTGGCTGTGGCTGGCCCAGCGGCTTCAAAAGCTTTAGCCAACTTTCAAAACTTGGGAGACTGCATAAAAATCGAGATTTCTGACTTCTCAAAAAATGAGAAAACACGGGCACCTGGGTGGCTCAGTCGTTAAGCGTCTGCCTTCGGCTCAGGTCATGATCCCAGGGTCCTGGGATCGAGCCCCACGTCGGGCTCCCTGCTCCGCGGGAGGCCTGCTTCTCCCTCTCCCACTCCCCCTGCTTGTGTTCCTGCTCTTGCTATCTCTCTGTCAAATAAATAAAATATTTAAAAGAGAGAGAGAGAGAGAGAGAGAAAACGTGCTGCCATTGTGCTCACTCACACACTCGTACTAGCACTTGGGAAAAGCTGTAACATCTGCCTTTTAGAGAGGACATGGCTCCCCCTTTTGCTGTGTTCCCACCGACAGCAGGGAAGTGTAAAAGGCCTTGATCTACACACTTGGCCGTTTTGCTCATAATAGAGAAATGTCTCCTATGCTCCGTGTCTACCAAGAAGGGAAAAAAAGGGACCATGCATTTTCCAGAAAATGGGAGAGGGTGTATTTCTTTGTGGAAATGGACTGCTTTGCACCTCTGTGACCTTCCTAGCCCCAGCAGACACATGAGTTTGCAGACCCCCTAGGCTACGTCGTATGTTGTTACAAGAGCTCACACTTTAAGCAGGGAGGCAGAGTGTAAACCTTATTTTCGTTGTGGGACAAGAAAGATCTTTTGAGAAGTCTACAGCAGTGGCAGGTCTACTGGACAAAGCAAGAGGTCCTTTGGTACATACAGTAACCTCAATTCCTGCACTCTATCTTTTGTGTAAAATCCTTGTATATATTGGGAGAAACCAACAGCTAGTCCAGCTTGGTCTCTTACACCATTTGATTCTCTCTAGCCTTGGAAGTCAGGGGCAAGTTGTTAGCCCTAGCTTTGCAGTGACCACACCACAATTCAGTAGTAAAGATTTGAGCCCACGCTTTTCAGGCCTGCTTAGTTCAATAAGCCTTAATTGCCCCCCCCCCAAAATTATGTTTTATATTTGAGAAATAAGGGAAATAAGCTTAGGAAAATACTCAAGATAGTGATTCCTGAACAAGGATGTGTACATAACAGACTTTCTTAAAGGGCAGGAACTCTTTGTTTTTATCAGGAAGGGATAGAAGTTTTGTTATTTGGACAACTTTTTGGTTTGGTCTGTAAAAGCCCTGGTGGTCTATAATAGATGGGACCTTTCTCAGGGGCCCCTTGATGTAGACTCTCAAGTTTGTTCTCTCTCACAGAGGATTGCAGTCAGGGACATTCCCTGGGGTCCTGGAACCTGGAAACAGAAAAATTCCAGAAGTTGTCAGGCGGCAGAGAGCCCAGACTGCCTGGAACCTTCCAGAGCCTTTCAGAACTTTCCGTGTACCTTCAAGCATGAGGGTTAATGAAGTTTATTAACCATCCAACTCAAAGGCTTTCCCATGGCCCGAACTGAGCCCACTCCTCTGTCGGTATCTCTACCTACCTGCCTCAAGTCTTTTTTACGCCAGAGCTGAACAATAAAGGGCCTTGTTCCCTACCCCTTGTAAAACTGAGTTTGAGCTCTTAAAGGAAGGTGAGTGGTGTGTCAGACCCGTGGAAGGATATCATCTGGTTCCCTTGATAACACTTTTCTCCCCTCCCAGCCCCTGCCCTTGGGGTCTGTCACTCCTTTTTCTTCTTACCTGCCCTGGGGAGGGCATGCTGAATTACTAGGCTATGGACATTAGCCTCTGCCTGCCAGAGCCTGCTCCCCAACTCACGATAGCGGAGGAGGGTTCAGACATGCCCAATCTCAACTCCCTTTTCTCCTTCTGGTTACAAACCCCCGGCCCTGGAAGCCGGGAGCAGGAATGGAAAGCCAGGGCAAGAGGGGCCCAGCCTGCCCGAGGCTGTGCTGAGAATGTGGGGGGTCTTCCAAAGCTGTGCAGTCTTCTCTCATCTTAGGCAGGTACCCTGTGGTTCTGGTGTCCCTCAGCCTCCAGCAGCTCAAGCGCTAGCGTGAGGACGGTGGGAGAACCAAGGCCAGTGTGGGGTAGAGCTGCTCAAGTGGGCACTGTCCACGCATGCTTTGATTGCACCCCTGGCAGGGTGCAATCTGACTGTCTGGACTTGAAGGGCTCTGGAAAGCTCAAATGGGCCAGT